GTTTGTAGATGGTGTTTTGTGTTTGCAAACCACATTGTGTTTGTTAGTTGTTAGTTATTCTTGAACCCCGAGAGCAGGAGAGACTGAAAAGAGTCAAGGCAAGCTTATACAAGTTAACAGCATTTAATTACACAAAAGATGCTGTGGTTTACAAAAGAAATGTGCTCGTTGGTGGTTTGCTCCTGCCAGCTGTTTTGTCCCCTCCGCGCTGGGTCAGCTCGGGGCAAGGAGAGAGAGAGATCCTTCTTGGGTCTCCCGGGTAAGACCTGTAGTCTTCTCCTATTGGCCGGCGTCGACGGGGGCGTGTCCAATGCAAATCCTGTCGGTTTCTGCTGCTGAATTACATCACTCGGATGTCTGTGGTCATCTAAACATTCCCTAATAAACCTCATTCCAGCGTCAATAAATGAGTGTTAAACTCAGGGTGTTTAGTGTACAACATCACGTTATTTCACCTTCAATTCACGGTTTGAAAACGTAGCATTTCGCCACAAGCTAATGCTAACCGGAAATGACGAAATTCACCAGCGGAAAAACCGGAAGTCACATGTGAATCTTCGGTTTTCAGAATAAAACAGATTTAAATGAAATACAGTGTATTTCATTCAAATTACGCCACATCAACATTGATTTTAATTTCTAACAATCCCTCCTTTCACACTTTTTAAGGTGTGAACACAATACTGGAATCAATGAGTTCTTCATAAGACTGCTTTTAAACTGACGGTATGTTTTAGACAAAATTATGTCATAAAACATTGATTTTAATTTCTAACATAGTGAATCATAAAGCATTTGTAAAACCTGTTTAGTTTGTTTGTGGAGTTATGGCAGGAAATTAGCTCCATATTTGTCAATCTTAAAAAATAATTTCCATGTCAAAAAAATCACAGTTTGTCGTAAAACTGTTGAAATATAAGACTATGAAAAATACGTTGCGTAAGTGATGTCACAATTGTTTTCCTCCACTAAGAGATAGCTAAGATCAGCGCCATATAGATAGAATCTATCTATATGGCGCTGGCTAAGATAAGATAACTTTAACAAGATGCCTGTGTGCTTAGTACCAGGTTGTTATCATACCAGCAATGGGTCTTGCTCGTTCTTTCGCTTCCCGTCTGATGAAAGGACCAGGAGTGGCTTGATCAAGTTAGCTACATAGCTAGTAGCTAGCACGTTAGTTAGCATTACAGCCTTGTCATTTTTATTAGCCTTAACATGAAGTAACATTAAGTAACCCAAAATGTTAAACAGTAAGAGTAGTAGTCATATTTCGTGAACCCTTTGAAGAGTACTGTCACACCGGTGTGATCATTCTATAATACACAATTTAAGCCCGGGGGGGAAATGCTAACGCTACATTAGCATCGGCGATCTTTTGCACTTCATGCTATCTGCACAAATGGTTGACATTAAACATTAAAAAGACCAGGCAGTTCAGAGAGAATCAAAGGAAGGCAGGCAGTTTTGCATGACATTCATAGTGAGGGTAGTTAATCCTTTTTTTGACAAGACAGCAGTGACGGCCATCTTGGTGACGTGTGTTATTGTGCAAGACCGGAGATGTAGTTCATTGAGCATTTCACACAAACAAATGTGTTACTTCACAGTTTTACGACATATATATATTTTTTTGACTTGCAAAATTATCTTTTAAATTGACAAACATCATATGTGTAATTCGTGGCACAATTCAAACGGGATCGAAAGATAATCTTTCTCTCTCCATTGAATTCAATACATAATTTTTCCGAAATAAGGTCCCATGGAGGTCCACCGGAAAGGGAGGGACTTTGCCACTCTATGGAAATAAACATCTGTCTTATTGGCTGATTACCTATCCTGTGAGCTGTGACAATGTTTAAAATAAACTGTCAGTCGGACTCAGAGTTTTTGAAGATGGATATAAGAAAAAAAATTCTTAAAAAATACGACAATTCTCAAGTGGTGGCTCACACAACAAAATCAGAGCCAGCACTTGAGCCAGGTAAACAAGGTATGTAAATGTTAGTAAACTTCCAAGTTATGCGATCATGTAAGCAAATAAATTACAGCTACGTTGACGTCACTTTGAATCGCGGGGGTAAGCTAAACCGTTAGCAAGTAGCTATAGCTAGCCAGATATATTAAATAAACACTTTGTCATACAATCTAAATGTAATGTTTTTTAGCGTTACCTGGTGATTTCAAAGAAAGCTCTCTGGGAAATGTTGACTTACTGTTCGACATGAAGCTAGAAGCTACCTTACAGTACACAGTTGATCCGGAGTCCTGTCAGTTAAAGTGTTTCATAGTTAGCTTAGCTAAGCATCAACCTAGCACTGGATGTTATGTGACAGTTTTTCTGAGAAAAAGTCAGCTGAAATGGTGGCATAGTTGCCACTGCTTTACGTGTCAACAGCATGTTTGAACGTATTTGCAGCAGTAAATGTGGCTGTTTGGCCACTGACGTTGCCATAACAACACCTGAATTTAAATGTGCAACCTCTTTTTGTGACAGATTTTTGCATGAAATTATAATTCTTCTGAATGATAATCCATAACGAAAAATCTGTTTACAGTTCTGTTGCATATGGGTGTTGAGAGATGTATCCATAGATCTCTTAATTTTGCTCTCAAAGTGCACCAGATTGATGCTTTTATCTTCAATATTTAAAAAAAAAATCTTCCCAGGGGAGCTTGCCCCCGGACCCCCCTAGAGGATGTTAGGTCCACGGTGTTTACATGCTTATTTATACAATATGTGTGCTTATGCTAACATCATAAGACAAAAGTTGGTTCCGTGTTGTGTGTAGTGAGAACGCGCTAGAGTGAGGGGGGCCCCCAAGCCAAAGCTCGCTTAGGGCCCCCAAAAGTCTAGGGCCGGCCCTGCACACACACACACACACACACACACACACACACACACACACACACACACACACACACACACACACACACACACACACACACACACACACACACACACACACACACACACACACACACACACACACACACACACTCTGTTACAACCCGGCTCTTGGGCTGTAACAAAAAGTTGGGAGTCGAGACGAGGGGCATGGAAATATAACAATTATTTAATAGTAGTTGATACAAAAACTGACAGCCGCGACGAGAGGCTCACACGGGGAGTGTGCGAGAGGAATGAGAGAGCCGCCTCCCGAAACTCGATGGGCTGTCTTTTAGCTTTCTGGTGGAACTCCATGGGACCTTATTTCGGAAAAATTATGTATTGAAGTCAATGGCGAAAGAAAGATTATCTTTCGATCCCGTTTGAATTGTGCCATGAATTACACATATGATGTTTGTCGATTTAAAAGATAATTTTGCAAGTCAAAAAAAAAAAAGATGGTCGTAAAACTGTGAAGTAACACTTTTGTTGTGTGACACCGCTCAATTAACTACATCTCTGGTCTCACACTACACACGTCACCAACACCAAGCTGGCCGTCACGTTAGCACATTTCACCTCTTTCTTTCAGAATGAGGCGAAAAGTATTAAACGAGGAGAAAATCACGACAAGTCTGGGCATGTTGAGAGCTGTATATACACAAAAGGGGAGTTTGTCGGTTCCGTAAGAGCCGAGGTGAGTATTAAACAAGTGTAATTTGTAACGTTAATGTCAGCTAGCTAACATTAGCTAACAATGTACACTCCTGTGTTTTGTTTGAGCAACTAGTTTTCTCGTTAAGAACTGCGTGATCGCTGTGTATGCTGTGGATAACATTAGTGTTGGCAAGGACAAGGTACACAGAAAAGGAGTTGCTAAAACAAAACACGAGAGTGTACCTCGTTAGCTAATGTTAGCTAGCTGACATTAACGTTACACATTACACTCATTGAACACTCACAGAAACCTTGTACAAGCCGGTCCCGCATGCTGGCTCTTACGGAAACCGACTAACTCCCCTTTTGTGTAATAGCAGCTGATGTTGATGATTTCCACCTCCTTTAATACTTTTCACCTCATTCTGGTGTTGGTGACGTGTATTGTGCGAGACCAGAGATGTAGTTCATTGAGCGGTTTCACACACAAATAAGTGTTACTTCACAGTTTTACGACAAACAGTGACTTTTTTTACTTGGAAATTATTTTTTAAGATTGACAAACATTATATGTGTAATTCATGGCACAATTCAAACGGGATCGAAAGATAACTTTTCTCTCGCCATTGACTTCAATACATAATTTTTCCGAAATAAGGTCCCATGGAGTTCCACCGGAAAGGGAGGGCTCTCCCGCAACATCTTGCAAGAAACAGCGTCTGAGAGCTACTTAACATTTAAAAAACTATGAATGTGTCATACCCACTTAACGGCTGTCTTTTAGCAGCTACCCCAGGCCCAGGTGCAGCTCATCAGTTATCAATCACCCACAGCACTGGAACCTGCAATCACAAGTAGAGAGAGCGCCAACAGAACGCCTAGTGGTGTGGAGGGGTCATCACAATATGTAAATATGTAGAGAAACAAAAGCAAGCCGGTTTTGTCTTAGAAAAAGAAAACTCCCTAATTGTTCACTTTATATGTGTATTTATAAGAAGAAATAGTGGCAAAAAGAGACATCAAATAATCTAAAGTTAAACATCCAAAAACAACACCTTCATCAATACTTCCCCTCTCTTAATTACACAAAAAATAATAATATGACAACAATCCCCTTGACCTGGACAAGAAATAACACAATTTCACAGCAAAAGTTTGATGCTTTTTGAGGTTCTTGCTGAGAATTGAATGAGAAGATTGACACCAGTAAATGCTTTACATTTAAAGATACCGTCAGTTGGCTAAGATAAATATACAGACTGAAAACTGTTTTGTCTTGTAACTCTCACTTTTTAATTTTCCTTGTTTTATTTACATCAGCATACTTTCCTTTGTATTAACTGCCATTTGTATTTATATTGTTTGTTTTTTAGCTGTTATAGTCCATCTCAGAGCTCCCCTCCTCTTTTTGTCCTTGTTGATAAAGCATGTGAATGTCATCTGTCCTCAGATGAACCTGCGATGGAGGGGCTGGGTATGACGACTCACCTTCAGACCGGAGAGCTGCTCATCGTCACCACGGTGCTGCTGCTGTGGGCAGGTCAGCTTTATCTCTCTGTTTACCAGTGCTGGAGGAAGTACACATATCCTCTACTGCAGTAAAAGTACTCATTCCAACCTGTGAAAATACTCGTTGACAATTGAAACCTTGTAAGAATAATCAAGAAAATGTTCTTACAGAATGGCCCCAAGGACTATTATATAATTTAAAGGGGACCTATCGTGCAAAATGCACTTTTGTACGTCTTTTATACATGAATATGTGTCCCCGGTGTTCCAGGGAACTCACCAAGTGTCAGAAAACACAACCCTCTCTATTTTCCTCCATACCCAAATCTCTAAAAAAGGGGCTGCAACGGATCTGATAAAAACTGATCCAGATTTGAACACTTTACTGACGTCAGGAAAGTGGCGCTACGGCTATAGGCTCTGTGCACAAGATGGCGTCTATCAACTTCCGGCGGGTGGGTGTGGGGGCGAGTACTTCCGGTTTGAGTACAGAGTCTTTACAGCTTGACAGTTTGACAGTTTCTTATGACACACCAAGAGCAAGAATGAGCGGATTTCGGGGTAAAGAAAAGCGATTGGCCTTCCAGCGGGTAAGAAAGTCGGCACTACATTGCTGTGTGCCACTGTGTACGAATTCGGCCCGTTATAATCGGGAGATAAGTTTTCATGCATTTCCCATTGATGCTGAGGTAAAGGCTCAGTGGCTGATCAAGGTCCGTAGGGACAATTTCAGCCCCACAAAAAATACCAGTGTGTGCAGTAGGCATTTTCGACCAGGAGACTTATTGGTCACAGCGGGAGGACTGCACAGAGTACAGAAAGGAGCTACACCTGTTCTCTTTGCATGGAATAACTACGAGCTACCTACACCAAGACGTAATGTTTGGGAGCGTCGGCCGAGGGCAGAGAGCCCCACCCCGGACTTGACAGCTGAGTACGAGGTGGAAACAGTTGCGCTGCCTGATCATGAGTACTGTTTAAATCCCGCGACGGCAGTGATGGCAAATCAGGTGGCCGACGAGAACGAAGCCTTGAAAATGCAGGTTAGGGAGCTCCAACACCAGCTGGAAGTGTTACAACTGCGATCTCGTTTCGGGATACAACGCCTGGCAGGGTCGGACGAGGACATTCGTTTCTACACCAGGTTTGTTTATAAGGCTATCAGGATGTTGTTATGGCCACTAGTTTGAAAAACACCTTTCATTTGGGGAAGCTAATTTAAGAAACAAAACAATGTCTAACATGAACAATATTACATTCTTAGATTTGCCACATACAAGCATTTCCTTGCCTTTTGGAAATTGGTGGAGCCAGCAGCCAACACCAAGATGGTGCGGATCACCAACGCCAAGGCATCCTCTGCCAGCAGCTCGGATTCCTCTCAACCAACAACAACGGTATGCAGCATACAAGCATGGATGTATATTAATAATTATGCACGCTGCGCACTATACCACCGTTTAACAAGTGCATCACATCACTCACACACATGCCACACACACACACACACACACACACGGAAAATGTGTTACAACTGTACCCGGTCTCCCTATAACAGTATCTACAGTATGCCTAACACTTATTTGTTTTCACAGAAACTTCCACCCATAGATGAGCTGCTGCTGTTCCTCATGCACCTGTCAGTGGGCCTACATCTGAGGGATCTAGCAGAACGGTTTGGCATTCACCGCACCACAGTCATCAGAATTATTTCCACCTGGACACACTTCCTGTACCAACTGCTTGGAAGCCAACGTCTGTGGATCCCACGCGAAGTTGTCAGAGCTCACCTTCCACCAGAGTTTTCAGCTTTCCCTGACACACAAGTGGTGCTTGACTGCACTGAAGTATTCTGCCAGACTCCATCATCTCTCCTGCTGCAGAGTGAGGTGTTTTCAACGTACAAGTCACATGCTACATTCAAGGCCATGATCGGCATGGCACCACATGGTGCCATTACATTTGTGTCTGGCCTGTATGCAGGATCTATGAGTGACCGGGAGATTTTCAAGCTGTCTGGCATCGTGAGCCTGCTCACACCAGACATGGCAATAATGGTCGACAAAGGGTTCCTTGTGGACAATCTGGTTGAGTGCAAAGTTTACCGGCCTGCCTTTCTGTAAAAAAAAACCCAAATGAGCAGGGAGGATGTCAGGCAGACTCAATCCATTGCACGTCTGAGGGTCCATGTGGAGAGGTGCATCAGAAGGGTCAAAGAGAACAAACTCTTTGACAAAGCCATACCACTGTCTGTGTGTGGAAGCATTGAGGAGCTTTTCAATGTGGCTTGCTTCCTGGTCAACTACCAGAACGGACCACTGGTGAAAGCATGGGCAAGCCTGGGCAGCAATGATTAAAAGATTTCTTGCTCCCAAACCAATTGTGTATTTCATTGTGGTCGTTACAAAAAGCAGTCATACCATACTATGTTTAGGTACTAATGAATTATAACCTCAAAACAAATGCACACAAAAATAACATAGGACAATACATAATATAATAAATCCACAATATGATAACATTTTACAGATTCATTTAATACACTTTTACAAAACATAGGTTGATGTTATATCGGGGGGAAAAAATACATATTTAAACATTTCAATTAGTCTCTGCATATTTAAGTAATGCTAGTTTATGTAACAGATGAACAGATCAATGCAAGATAAGTTAGTTAGCATCCACAACTTTTGTTAATGAATAACGTCATATGACATTAAATGTCTGCCAATAAACACCCCTTTCTTCCTCACATAGGTCCTTTGACTAAAGGATCTTTTTGACTTATAGAACACACTTGGTTCTGGTTTTAGCAATTGAAAGAACTATATACAGGAAAATATTCATGTTAGATCAGTAATGTAGTGTGATGTAGTGTGGTACACTAATGTAGTGTAGTGCATATCAGTCCATGTAAAAATAAAAATAATCTCCCTTCTCCCTAATGGTTGTAGCCACCTCGCAGTCTCTGCAGATACGCTGTATAAGGATATCCTCCTCTGCAAAAACGACAAAATCGCACCACTCCATCCCTGTGAGTAGGAGCTGGCCTTGCACCTGCCAATAGTAGCTATGAGACTGCTTCAGTTTTAATGTGCCACTTTGCATTTTTAAGTAGCTACAGTCCACATAACTTTTTGCATTTGGGCATTTTATTTCAACAAGTCCAAAAGGTGGGCTCTCAGTTGGGTCAAACACCAGACCGTCAGGAGATGACCCTAACCAGGGGGCATCTGGGTGAATGACAAACAAATCAAATCAAAAAGATTTTCCTTGCCATGAGCAATGTTGTCGCAAGTGACAGTAGATGGAGGTGCTGTTGGTGACTGCACACAAACTCACAGGTGGTAGGCTCCAGCCTATAGCCATCCACAGGTAGAGGTGGTGGTGGAGGGGCATCTGGGTGACGCACTATAACCCGGCTAAGAGGTAGTGGATGCTGGTATGAGATAGGGCTACCTTCCTGAACTTTTCCAAAGGTGGAGTTAACCAGTGGCACGTCCACACTTATAGCCATGGTAGTGATCAGTGGTGCGATGTCTGCTGAGAAGTCCTTGTATACCTCGCTGACTTTGAGGACATCTGGGTCTGGCAGCTCCCCCCGCACGGCCTTGTAACGTGTACTCCTTTGAACATGTTTATATAATAATTAGGACTTTAAGAACAATTTTACACTCAGACAACAATCACAAAGTTGTTGCAGGCTACATACAATTACTTAGGACAATAGATATTACCTTACACCGTCAGCAACTGTAAACTGCTTTGGCTTAGTGGAAATGAACACCATGTCACTCACTCTGCCTGGTTTCACACCCTATTAATTACACAAAAGAATTGTCAAATTCATTGAAATGGTCATTGATGCAACATACTAGATCAGCTCTTGGCACAAAGGAAATACTCATTAAACCGTGGATTGGTTGTGAACACATACTGTACTTACCATGGTTCTTGGCTTGTGCCATCGCTGCTCTGTTTCAGTGCAGCTGAGGACAGGGGGTACAGCAGCCAGGTTGAGTGTGGAGTAGTGTGCGGTCTGGAACAGCAGTGCAACATTGTGGTTGCAGAGTGCTGTTCCAGCTACACAGGAACACTTTGCCACTGCAATCTCCACGGGTGAGCAGTTCTCAAAGACAATCTACACATTAAAATAAAATGTCAGTCATTTTACATTTAGAACACCGCTTCAATACAACACAGAAAAATGAGAAAGCTGAGAGCAGGCTGATCAGGCAAGTAGTAGGTGTGGGAAAAGGCTAAACCATGTCAGGTTATCAGTCACATCACATACACAGAAGTTCTGCTGTTTGGAATACTGTAATTTAAGGACATTCAAACAGATAAACTTTCTCAGCTGTCTCAATTTATTATCTTATTATATTATAACTACATAAAATAGTGTTAGTAGAACGTTGAACAGCTTAACATAGATGTAGGGTACAAAACCAGCACTTACCTAACACTGGCCCATACAAATAACTGGACCCTACATGGATTATACTAACCATACAGTAAAGAACAGCAGCCGTCACAACCAGTTTCTGGGGTTTCCATGAAAGCAGAGATGGTTTTCAACCTCTCATTAATAATCTTTGATGAAAGCTAAGTTTGGGTTTAGCTAATGTATTTATCATTTTACACGAGAGGGTTACAAAACGAAAATAAATCTGTAGCCCCTTCATGCTACACACACATAGCTAGCTACCAGTTGATGTGAGCTAATTTATTGTCACTATGCAATCTGTTGCAACACGTCAGCTAGCTGGGCTTTTTTGAATCCTAAATCACAGGTTACCTACTCTAGCCACATCAAAACCCCAGAACATGAACCTGATTGAGGCTTTGAACCGATGAACACTTTTTATTTTCCTCCCTACTCTGAGATCGTGAGGCTTTTCATGCTTCCTCATGGACCTGTAACAGCTAGCCCTGACGCTCACTCTCCCTGAAGGTAGATCTTTGTTTGAAACTGTGGGGAATTGGACATCATTCATGTTATCCAAAACACGTAATAGTACATCATTAAAACGCTTTACACTGTATCAAGACTGTCAAGTTGTCAAAGTTAGCCAGTAACTACAGCTTTGTTTGTCACTTACCTTCATAGTTGTTATCTACCCGCTCTACCGTAGACCGGATGTTAACAAGCGCCCACTCAATGAACCGGAAATGGAAATACGTCATCCCGTGCAACTAGCCTATTGGGCCAACTCCACCAATCAGGAGGAGACAGCCACGGCCATTGCCGTTCGAAAGTGCTGGAGACGCTGTAGTACATATGCCAGGCCTGTAAGTGGCGCTGTAGTCTGCCACAAAAGCAGCGAAGAAGACTTGGTTACCATGGTTACCCTTCTGTTTATTCTCCGCTGTGGCTTTTTTTCTCCCTCCCCGAGGCAAGCGTTTGCTCCCGCTGATTTAATGCAATGCAATCCCTCCCCGTCGAGGCAAGCACTGTAATTCTCTGTCCGTTAAAGTTTAAATCTTCCGGACAAAATTTGAAAAGTGCCGGTCAAAGGTCTTCTTTGTTATTTATTGAGCTTTAAAACAAATGAATAACGACTCTATATAATAAAACACGGAGGACGGAGATCTCTTTTTCTCCCCCTCTTCTGACAGCCCAGCAGCTGATTAGAGCACGTCTCCCCTCTCCTGCAGGGGGGCGTGGTCAGCAGAATCAGACCCGTAGACAGCAAACAACACATAGAGCGAAATGAGGCATGGCTAAAATGCATGATCTGTTTGGTATTTCGAAAACAGAAACGTATAAATATACCTTATATAGGTATGGCCCTACAATATATTATTTAAATATAGCATGATAGGTTTCCTTTAAAGGTGGGGTAGGTAAGTTTGAGAAACCAGCTTGAGATACACTTTTTGTTATATTCCATGGAATGCTCTTAACATCGCGATAGCAATGAATATCTTAAGTGCTTTGAAAAAAAATCCATACAAAATGTCATCTGTGGAAGCCGTAGTACTGTAAAAAGTACGACCAATCATTTTAGCCGGCCCGGCTAAAATAACTGGATGGCCTACCTGCCTGTCAGCCTTCCATCTGTGCACAAACTTATCTCGTTGCCTCATTGGTCATGTGCGCGTTAAGAATAACCCCTGGCAGCCGGGAATGATCATCCATGATGCAGATATGTGAATTGAAACAGAAGCAGATGACAATATGAAGAAGTGAGTCACCCTGCTGCTGCTGTGCTCATTGGTCATGTGCGCATTCGTGTGTGTTGGAGGAGGGGCTCTGTAAGGAAGTAGCAGATTTCTTCCGGCTGTGTATTTTCAAAATCTAGCGATCTCGAGCTGGTTTCTCCAAAATTACCTATCCCACCTTTAAGGTAACTATAATGAAAATACTTATTGTGCCCGGGTGAATATAGTAAAAAAAAAAGCTATTCAAACCCAGGTGCCTATAGTGAACAATGCTATTTGTAACCAGGTAACTATAGAGTGGTGCAGGGATGACGTATTTACCTGGAAGTAAGCTGCGCATGGGTTCCCTAGACAAAAAAGCAATGGGATTTCTCCATAGGATTTTGGAAAATAGCTCGAAATAAGGTCCTTGGAAAACTAACCTGTTTGATAAATACACGTTTTGTTCAGCCGAAGTCTACCCTACTTTTATAATTTTCGAATCATAAAACTAATCGCCAGAAGCTAAATGCTAACGTTATGCTATAAACGAACTACAGCAGGGTCGCACGACTTCAACGTCACGCCAACTTAAGATCGATATTCAAAAATACAGATTCAAAATTGTACAAGTTGCTTTCAAGCAGAACAGGGCAAACAAACTTAGCGGGAGTGTGTACGTGTTCGGCGTAATGACGTATAACGTCCTCGACAACTTCTGTAGTCCTATTCAGCCACTTGTTAACAACCATCGTTTTTCAGACACATAAACAGCTAAAACATCACCAGTGGGGTCACTGCTGATGTATTTAATGTCGTAGAACAAAACTTGATCCGTCTCTTAAATTTGTGTCAACCACAGACCTTATTTTGAGTTATTTTCCAAAATTCTATGGAGAAATCCCATTGACTCCGAGACGAGGGAACCAGTAGTGGTAAAATGCGAACTCACTTCCGGGTTTTAGGACTCGTCACTGCATCACTCTGGTGAACAATGCTATTTGTAACCGGGTAACTATAGTGAACAATGCTATTTTTAACCGGGTAACTATAGTGAACAATGCTATTTGTAACCGGGTAACTATACTGAACAATGCTATTTGTAACCAGGTAACTATAGTGAACAATGCTATTTATAACCGGGTAACTATAGTGAACAATGCTATTTATAACCGGGTAACTATAGTGAACAATGCTATTTGTAACCGCTGTGGAGCAGGTGAGCAGCACCAAATTCCTGGGTGTGACCATCACAGATGACCTCACCTGGAAAAACAACACCACCGCACTAGCGAAGAAGGCCCAGCAGCGCCTGTACTTCATCTGGAAGCTCAAGCGAGCCGGAGCACCACCCCCCATCATGCTGTCTTTCTACCGAGGCGCCACTGAGAGCATCCTCAGCAGCTGCATCACGCTGTGGTGATGCTGCACCACAGCTGCACCCTCTCAAACCGCAAGAGCCTGCAGCGGATTGTGAACTCTGCCCAGAGGATCATCGGTGCCTCACTCCCATCACTACAGGACATTTATAACAACCGCCTCACCCGCAAAGCACTCAGCATTGTGGGCAGTGTTGGGCAAGTTACTTCCAAAATATAATACATTACATATTACTTACTACTGTCTTTTTGAAGTAATAATACAATATTACTGTCTCTGAAATGTAATGAGTTACACTACTTTTATATTACTTTTGAGTTACTTTCACCAAAATAACCGCAAAATAATGGCTAGGTATTTTAAATGCTAAAATGTAGTGTTGTGCAGCAACTGTGTAGGCCCTTAAGGCTACTAACAACTTTTATTACAAGGCTTACCCCTAGATTCCACCGGGTCCGTCTGTGCCGCGGTTTTGGTCCGGCCTCCTCCGGCGTCATACCCTACCAGGCGCGTTTCAGAAGCATTTCAGAAGCGGAGTGTCTTGCCTGCCGGCTCGCAGTTTTTGTTGATTTGGGCATATTTCCTGGACAGGCTACTTTGTACAGACAAAGTTAATAATAACTGTAATATTCCAGTTATAAACGACATGAATCAAAGATGTGTTGCTGTATTTTAGTGGTAAAAAAATGCATTCATCATCATAATTATTCTATATATATATAATTTACACAGTGCCTGTAAACCGGAGGAGAACACTGGCATTTCTCCTCCTACTTGAAAGACTACGGAGGGATAGGGTCTGCAAAGTTAGTTTGTGTGTGTGTATATATATATATATATATATATATATATATATATATATGCTATATATGCTCTGAACGTTCCACTTCCTGCCTGCCCGACCTTACGTTACGGCTGCGCCGCGACAAAAATAGGATTTGATCCTAATTTTAGAGGAGCCCTGCGCCGAGCCGCTTCTGGGCCGCTTCTGAGCCGTAACGCGCCGCGTGTGGTGGAATAGCACCCATTGACTAGAGTGGCCGTGAGCACCGCGGCGCAGCCGTAACGCGCCGTAGACGGACCCGGTGGAATCTAGGGGTAAGTTGAATACTCGATTCTGATTGGTCAATTCCAGGATCAAGAAAAGAGAAAGTAAAAGACGGTGCACTGGACGTCAGATAAATGAACAGAAGAAGACAGACAAGAAGTAAACACTAACAGGAACACGGTATGGGCTCTGCAGTGTTTACGGACTTGTTAGTGGATCAGAAACTGTGAACAGAGTTGGACAGTGCTGCCGTAAAGTTGTTGTTGTCGCAGTTCCAGCCGTTGGTGCGCCGTGGAACGGAGTTTTTTTTTTCTTACCCCTCGATTCCACCGGGTCCGTCTGCTCCGCGTCACGGCTGCGTTACGGCTGTGCCGCGGCGTTCGCAAAGATCGCGGCCACTCTAGTCAATTGGTGCTATTCCACCAGACGCGCCGCGTTACGGCTCAGAAGCGTCCCAGAAGCGTATCGGTGCTGGGCTCCGCTCAAAATAGGATTCAAGTCTATTTTTCGACGCGACGCGAGGCATGGCAGAGGCGCCGGGCAGGAAGTGGACCGGTCAGAGCATCCGGCCCATCCCCAAAATAAACTAATTTTGCAGACCCTATCCCTCCGTAGTCTTTCAAGTAGGAGGAGAAATGCCAGCGTTCTCCTCCGGTTTACAGGCACTGTGTAAATTATATATATAGAATAATTATGATGATGAATGCATTTTTTTACCACTAAAATACAGCAACACATCTTTGATTCATGTCGTTTATAACTGGAATATTACAGTTATTATTAACTTTGTCTGTACAAAGTAGCCTGTCCAGGAAATATGCCCAAATCAACAAAAACTGCGAGCCGGCAGGCAAGACGCTCCGCTTCTGAAATGCTTCTGAAACGCGCCTGGTAGGGTATGACGCCGGAGGAGGTGAAGAGCTCGACGAAAACACTCGTGAAAAGTGATGTTTAAAACTCAGTTAATGGGGCTCATTCACTGGCGCTTCCACAAACAACCAACATAATTGTTAGATTCAAATGAAGTAGCCTACATTATTCAAGTTTACATGTTACGAACTCAGACACTTAGGATGTAGGACCCAATTGCACGACCCGGGAGACAGAGGTAAAGTATTAGTAAGATACTTTATTTTCCAAAATACAGCAATGAACAACAAAAAAGGTAACTATCAAATCTCTAACCGAGATGACAAAAATAGAGGAACAAAATGAAAGCGCTCACGTAGTGAGGAATCAAACTTTACAAGAGTACAAAGAGCATAGACCTGACCATAGCAAGAGACAATACGAACTGACAAAGAACACTTGGGAGACAGGGGAATATAAGCACAGGGTAACTAGACACAGGTGGGACCAATCAGGGGCGGGGCTGACATTGATGAGCACAGGAGACACAGGTGAAAATAATCAGGAAGCCTGGAATGAGAGAAAGCAAACGTAAATAACATGCATCTCTCTAGCATTTCTGTCGGTGCACAACATTACATTAACTTTGGATAATAACACGGGAGAAATGAGCGGAAGCGCTCTCTTTTCCTCTCTCCCCCTCTCTCTCTCTCCTGACAGCCTGTCAGTATCTCATGCAGCTCACTGATCCAGTAATGAGTGACCTGACAGTGAAGAATAAATATATTTATAACTAGTTCCAGAGGTAGATCAAATAGCTAAGTGTGTTAGGTCTAACTCTTGTGTGTTTTGCTCCGCTCACCGGTCCGTCACAGCGGGTGGAGCTGCAGGATTTCTGCTTCACACACGTTGCATACCGCTATTTTATTGTCATTTTCAGACACCTTAAAATACTGCCAGACTGGTGAAGCCATTTTGGCGAGCTTGTTTTGCCGCACACAGATAAAAGTGTCATGCATTTTACATGAGAGCACCGATCGATCGGCAGAGAGTGAGTATTGGCCGATATCGCCACGCAAAAACTGCGGCATTTTTACAGCTCCTTATGGGTACTGCAATTTGTGAAGTGCTTTCCTCTGTGGTGAAATTATCAGCACTGCATTACGGAGGAAAGCGGCAGAAAGTCGCCTGGAGTTAAAGAGAGCGGGGCTGCGTTGCGTGCATGGCTTCCTTCTGCAGGTAACGGGGAGATGCGCTCTGGCGGCGGTCTCGTTCAGGATCCGAAAATACAATTTAAATATTTTGCACATTTATTCCACTTATTCCTAGTGTGCCACTGATTACGGTGGCACGCGTGCCAGGGGTTGCCGACCCCTGCATTACTGTAACGCGTTACACCCAACACGGATTGTGGGTGACTCCACCTACCCCTCCAACAGCCTCTTCAGCCTCCTGCCTTCAGGGAGAAGGTTCCGCAGCCTCCGCTCGAGCTCCACCAGGCTGAGGAACAGCTTCTTCCACCAGGCGGTCAGGATGCTGAACTCTCTCCTCTCCCTCTGACATCTCTCCCTTCTCTCCCCTGACCTCTCCACCCTGCCTCCCACCTTTCCCCCCTGCCCCAAATGGACCTGGACTTTAACCCTGTCCCCCGTCCCCACACACAACCTTCCCTCATCCAGCACCAGTCACTTTTCTACTCATCTCCGCTGCTACTGCACTGCAACTGTACTTCAAACATCATTTTTATTTTGCTCTAAGGAATACTTGCACTAATGTCACATTCATGTTTCTGTTGATTGTGTTTTAAATAAATTACATAGTACTTATACGTACCTATTACTACTTATTACTTAGTTTTTATACCTCTTTTATCTAGGCCCTTTTTTGTAACTTGTTATATGTATGTCAAACTATGGGACTGCGAGAAACGGTATTTCAAATTTTCTGTATGTATAACACATGTGGAATTCTTGACAATAAAGTTGACTTTGACTTTGAACTATAGTGAACAATGCTATTTGTAACCAGGTAACTATAGTGAACAATGCTATTTGTAACCAGGTAACTATAGTGAAAAATGCTATTTATAACCGGGTAACTATAGTGAACAATGCTATTTGCACTGTCCAGGCTGTATCTAGCATGGCAGAGACACATGCACCCAGGTGTCCATAGTAGACACGCTATTCACACCCGGGCATACATTTGATCATGTTTTTAATCGATAGGTATTCTTTGGTATGTCATAAGATTAATCTAATAGCAGGATTTTGCTTCTGTAGTGTTGTTGATTTGAGGCTCATTTCGAACTATTACCTAATGATTATTTTTGGAAAGAAAGAGTAATAATTCCTCTAAACATAAAAATAAGCTGTTTGTAGTCCATCAAATGCTGGGACTGTATGCTGACATCACCTTAGACCAAACGATTATTTGATTAATCAAGAAAATATTCAGGAGATTCAACAAAAAAATGTTGTTAGTTAGCCCCCAAATAGCTGTTTGCTAAGGTGTAGATCAGAATGTTATTGAAATATTATTGACAGATCATGTTTTGATTAACGTTTTTTATACTTTCTTCTTTCCTCCGCGTCTTCCTTATCCTTCCCCCCAGCCGTCATCGCCCTTTTCTGCCGACAGTACGATATTATCAAAGACAACGACTCCAGCAGCAGCAGAGACAAAGCCAAAAGGCCGCTGGTGCGAGCCCCCCCGCCCTACTACAACCCCTCGGCCGGCAGCTCGCCGATCTACCACAACGGAGCCGTGCACAGCAGCAGGGTGACTCACTTCTTCATATTATCATCTGCTTCTGTTTCAATTCACATATCTGCATCATAGATGATCATTCCCGGCTGCCAGGGGTTATTCTTAATGCGCACATGACCAATGAGGGCACGAGATAAGTTTGTGCACAGATGGAAGGCTGACAGGCAGGTAGGCCATCCAGTTATTTTAGCCGGGCCGGCTAAAATGATCGGTCGTGCTTTTTACAGTACTACGGCTTCCACAGATGACATTTTGTATGGATTTTTTGTCAAAGCACTTAAGAAATTCATTGCTATCGGGATGTTAAGAGCATTCCATGGAATATAACAAAAAGTGTATCTCGAGCCGGTTTCTCAAACTTACCTACCCCACCTTTAAGTCAGATAATGCTGTTAAAGTAATCACTCAGTTCTCTTAAGATGACAAGGTGACCTTTTAAAAAAAAATCAATAAGCACACACACACACACACACACACACACACACACACACACACACACACACACACACACACACACACACACACACACACACACACACACACACACACACACTTCTAGAGGCTCAGAAGAGATGATAGATCATGATTTGTCAAACATCCTACTCATCATGCATTCAAAGTCCACTTTAATAACCAAACACTTCTCATACATTTTGTTTAAAAAGGTACTTAATCAAACTATTAGTGCTGCCTACTTTTCTTTTGCTCCTAAATTAAATTACTCCTCTAATCACTTCAGCTGCATTTGAGAAATAAAAACTATTAACCCTTAATTTTCTTACATTTTACCTTACATACCTTTGCATTTATTACAGCTGGTCCTAGCTCTTTAATGCAGGTGCATTATGTTCAAAGTGATTACCCTCAAACCTGTGACTCCATGTGCCAAGGATTTACAACTGTTTTATCCCTAATTTCTCCAAAATTCAGCCTGATTTATTTGGTATCTTTGGCATTTATCCTCGAATTTAATTTGAATTACGTCAATTAAAAATAAACTGTCTTCACACACAATGAGTTTATAATGACTATCAAGGTTCATTTAATAATCAATGAAATCTAATGGGAATACGGCTTGAACTGTGTGGTGAGGACTAGGGGTGTTGAAAATAATCGTTTCTACGATGCATTGCGATGTGGACGTGGACGATTCGGTATCGATGCAGTGACGGAAGATAACCGATTATAGTGTAGTAACGTTGCTTCCTGATTTTCCGGCCGCGGCTTTACTATAACGTTTTTTTTTCTGTCACTTTAATATCAAATCGGTCGGTGACGCAGAGATCAGGGAACAGACGTGACAGCGGCACCAAACACGGAGCAGTCTGCTTTATCCACCAACACAAGAACACCAGTCCAGAACCAACAGCAGAAGGACCCGCTCTGAATCACTCCGTGTCGCTGCGGCTCAGAGACATTAGCCGCGTTCACACCGGAGTACTTTTCACCGTACTTTTCGCGTTTAGTTCCGTTAGTACCCCTTATGTCGCGTTCACACCAAAAAGAGCACTTAATCTCTGGAACTTTTACCCCCATTTTTAGTGCCTGCTGAGAGATCGTACTTTCCTGGGGGAAAAAAGTGCCCCAGTTCTGTTTGGCTGGGCGAATTGCAAACCACGCCTCGTACAACTCTGAAATGTTTTGTAGAGCCGCCATTGTATTATCCTCGCATTAGCATTATTAGCATTAGCATTCGCCCAGCGCACAAACGCAGAGAGACTAACTTATGGCAACACAAAATAAAACATGGGAGCGGTGGAGATGAGGTGTCGGCGTTCTGGCGATTTACTCGGAAGGCTTCAGTAGAAGCTGCTGGGAGTCCCAGCAGCTTCTACTGAAGCCAGTCCCCAACTCCAGGGACTTCCGGCCGGGGACTCCGGGTGACAGTATACGCCGTGAAGTTGTTTGCTGCCTGCCAGTAAACCCAAAGCAGAAGAAGTCGAAGTGACGTCAGCGGCTCATTTGCGTAATCTTCCCTCAGGGAAAAGTACTCCGGTGTGAACGCGATCTGTACTAAGTGCCCTGGGGTCATAAGTGCCGGGGCTCTGAGTGCCGGCACTAAATACGGCAAAGTGTGATGCCACATTCAGGACATTCAGTGTCCTTTTTTTAACAGAAGACCGTTGCTAGAAGCTGCAGCTAGACTGCAGAAGCATTAGTTTTTGAGGATGGAACAACTTCACACACAGATATAGGGAGGCTAGACCTATACAATTAATTTATTTTGGTTTATAAATTAATGTCAAGACATTTATGTTATTGATTTCTGAAGCACTTTCTAAATAATAAAAAGAGAGTTCATATGTATTTACTGCATGTATGCATTGATGAAAAATAAGCCATGTGCAGTAATATAGAAAATTGAGGATGCAACGCATTGGTATGAATCGTGATGCATCGTGATGCATCGGGATATCGAATTGAATCGAATCGTTGACAGGATAATCGTAATCGAATCGTGAGACCAGTGAAGATGCACAGCCCTAGTGAGGACGCATGTTAATTAAGAAAGATGTTAGATTTAGAGGCAAAATCCAATAAAAGGTTGCTGTTTGCATTCGTTGCCTTAGGGCTGAGATAAGTGGAAAACAAAAATAAAACATGATTCATGTTATGTCAGGCGGCCTCGATAACAAGGAGGGCCTCATCATCCTCCCAACAATAAGAACTATTTATTTTTGCTTAAACCTGAAGCAATTAAGGGAGAACTTTTAAGTGAACCTCTGAAATGTCATGGTCATCAATTGGCTCATAAATCTTTAACAAGCATCATATGCAAAGTGCATGAAGGCCATGTGGCGCTGCATGTGAAAATGACCCACACACTCAGATTTATGATCATGTGTGGTCCCTTTTCTGCTTATGAATCATGTGTTTATGTCCCTCTCCCTCACCTTTTTCTTTCTTCTTTTTTTAGCTCCACAGAGCCTCCTCCTCCATCAGCATCATTAGAGTCTGACTTCCTGTACAGCAGAGGACGGCTGGAGTCACAGATGTGTGACATGAGGAACTCCAGTGGGATTATCCTGACAAAGAGAGGATTTATAGACCTGACTGAGAGTCTAATTTATTGTAATGTATGGGAAAGTGAGAAGCACTCAATGCAAATTAACGTCTGGTGGAAATGGACAAATACTGCCCTCTTGTGGCAAGACTGCAACATCGAAAAACAAACTGGAAACACATGGACTGCAGCTTTTTAAAGAGCTTTTCAAGGAGGATTTCAGCACAAAAGGATGCATTCTGACCTGCAGGAAAAATACATTCCTAAAATTATTTTATTTCTATGACTTTCTCTCGCTGATTTAAAAAACCTTTTGTGATGTGCCAGCATGTTGGCGTCAAAATAATTCAAGGGTTCTGCGTCAAGTGTGAGACAACATATGAATGCAAGAATGTGCGTGTGTGTGTGTGTGTGTGTGTGTGTTTGTGGGTTTACTTTCCGTAATGTCTGCATTTCAATTAACTTCATATGTATTTCTCATCTCCTTGTTAATAGTAAGATGTCAACCCAGTCTCACGGCATTTCGTGTTATAGTCACGAAATGAATTTAATCTATTGATTCGTGTTCACCAACACGATTTTCCCTTTTTTTTCGTGTCACACAGAACAATTTTAAAAGCAATGTTATTATGTAATGTATGTAATGCTATTGGTAGTATGTTTCGTGCCTGCACCACGTATTTTTGTCCGGTCGGGTCTTGGAAGACCGGAAGCTGTGTGGTTCATAAAAACATTTTCTTACTCAATGTCAAGCCACGATTATTGTAAAATGTCTGACTTTTTTTGCCGTCCGTGAGGAAAAGAAATGGGGCTCAGAGCCTCAGAATACTGAAATCTGTATTTCCTTCTAATTTGTTATTATTTGGTGCAGGCACGAAACATACTACCAATAGAAATACATTGCTTTTAAAATCGTTCTGTGTGACACGATAAAAATGGGAAAATCGTGTTGGTGAACACGAATCAATAGATTACATTTCGTGACTATAACGCAAAATGCCGTGAGACTGGGTTGAAGATGTACACTATACTAACAACAAAAATAGTGTATTATATGTAATAAGAATATATTCATATTTTCATTTGAAGATATTGGTAATTTAAATGTTATTCTGACAAATCATTTGAATATATGGGATGAAGCTTTCATAAATAGTTTAATTAAATTAACAAAACATTTGACCATTTACTGTATTTAATATAGTCAGCAACATTTTTATAATGATAACATGACAAACTGATCAACAAATGTATCAAATTAAGTTAAAAAAAACAATAGTAGCTTATTAGAATGCTTCTAAATCGGCATTGTAACCAATATTCAATTTCAAGGCTACAAAGCCTTTTTGTGTTTGTTTTTAAAATCAATATAGGTTTTTTTGGTATTGTGGCAATGTAAATGGCATAACAAATAGGTTTACAGGAAAATTAGATACAATCCAGATTAGAGTTATGAAAGCAGCCATAGGCAACGTGTTTTAACAAAAAAATGTTTGAATAAGATTAGTATTCCTTACATTTAACCAAAACATAGTTTTAGTGATGTTGCTGCAAGATCTCTGGCTAAAAAAGAAAAAGTAGCAACATGATCAAATGAAGTGGAATTTTATGGCCAGAAAGACATGTTTTAGCATCTTAAAACACATCTCTCCTACTCCGCTACTTGACTTGTTTTTACCATACAGCTATTACATACAAGACAAACTACCACAATAAATCATTTCTGAACGAGACGTAGCGTCAGTCTCGCATGCAAAGTTCATGAAGGTTAGACTTTGATAAAGGAAGCAAAGCAATTCAAATCTCATTTACAATGCTGACCTGGCCAAGAAGGCAGCAACGTTACACATTCTTACACATAACACGGACATATAAAATACAGAGAACACAACTAAGTAAACAAAAGACAAAAAGCAGTCACTACATTGGCACATTTGGACAGTAAGGTACACTACTTATTACTGCAAGAGCAGCTGGTAGTAAGGACCTCAGACAACTTCAATTTAAAACAGGCTATAGGGACAAGTGCCATCAGTTTGAGGCTTGATTGAAGGTCATTCCAAGACCATGAACCATAATAAAAAAGACTCCTTTTCCCAGCCTCAGTACATGGGAAAATATAACAGATTATAATTGTTATGTATTTTCTTTATTGTCTATGTGACTTGAAACTAAGCATTCTTTTTGTGGATCAAGTGTCAGATTATAATTTATCTGTATTCTCCAGTTTCAATAAAAAATTGAAACAAATAGAGAGCCGAAGTCCCTCCCTTTCCGGTGGACCTCCATGGGACCTTATTTCGGAGAAAATATGTATTGTAGTCAATGGCGAGAGAGAAATTATCTTTCGATCCCGTTTGAATTGTGCCACATATGATGTTTGTCAATTTAAAAGATAATTTTGCAAGTCAAGAAAAAAAAAGTTTGTCGTAAAACTGTTTTTTGTGTGAAACCGCTCAATGAACTACATCTCTGGGGCCTCATTTATAACGCCTTGCGTAGGATTCACGTGGGAAGGTTGCTTACGTAGTACAAAGCAAAAAAATAGGTACAGAAATGTTCCAACATTTTCCGATTCACAAAACATTGCGTACCGGCGAGGGAAGTGCGTACGGCACTTCCTACGCCTGTTTCCCTTTATAAATCACAATCGACTCGAAATGCGGCGCAGCTTTTGCAGGCTTCACGTAACGCCCATATTTGCCTATAAATAGTCAGAGAAACGCCCATTCATTCATTTTGACTGACTGCATGAAGAAGATCGCAGGAAATGACGACAGCACAGCTAAAAAAGACATCTCCCATCATGTCCACCCAGACCAGTAAATCGTTTTTTTTGCCTATTTTCAGATTTGAATTATGCCATAGTGACGTTTTACGAGTAAAAGTGGGGTTTGAGCCTGTAATCTTGTGTGAGGTTCTCCATGTTTCCTGTGAAAAGGTGAGGACTGGGTTATCATAAGGGGTGACCCCATTTGTTTGCATAATAAAAGCATGGATAGAAACCCACATTGGGGCTTGTCCAGCTGTTATATATATTTTTGATAGCTGTTTCAAACAGAACGCATAGTGATACCAATCTATATGGGAAAGGCCTAGGCCGCCGTCCTCTATGGCTGCATAAAGTTTTGTGCGATTTATATACGGTCTTTTGCCATCCCATTGAAAGTTGTATACAACTTTGTTATATTTCAATAATGCATTGCCTGGCAAGCTTAATGGTAGCATATAATTTACATAGTTAATTTTAGGGACTATTACCATCTTTAGAATATTGATTTTTCCCAAGAGTGATAATCCCAGTTTAGTCCAATTTTGTAAAATAGGTTCTATTTTTTCGATTAATGGGATTAGGTTGTTTGTCATTATGCCTTCCAGCTGTGGAGTGAGCTTGATACCAAGATATGTTAATATCTTGCATGGCCGCCATGCAAATTGCCATCCCTGTCTAACACTAGGTGGGCAGAGTCTCGATAGGGGCATTGCCTCAGACTTTGACCAGTTTATTTTGTAACCTGACACGTCTGAAAAAGAGTCGATCACGTTGAGGATGTGAGGCACCGTTGTTGCGGGGCTTCTGGTCAGTATCAAAATGTCATCCATACATGAGCAGCTTGTGTTCCTCTCCACCAGCCTTTATGCCCACTATTTTGTCATTTTGCCTAATAGCAATTGCTAATGGACCAGCGCAAAGATTAAGGGAGATAAAGGACAGCCCTGCCTTGTTCCTCTATGAAGCTCAAAAGGGGGGGATTTCCTGCCATTTGTTACCACAGATGCCTTAGGATTTTGATATAATAATTTGACCCATTTAATAAAAGATGGACCAAGGCCGAAGTTCTCCAGCGTCTGGAAAAGAAAAGTCCACTCTACCCTGTCAAATGCTTTCTCAGCATCAAACGAGAGAGCTACAGTTATATCAGGTTCATTTCCAGCTTGCCACATAAGATGAAGCAACCTGCGGAGATTGTCAGACGATGTCCTATTTTTAATAAAGCCCACTTGGTCTGGATGGATACGTTTTGGTAGACAACCCTCCAGTCTAGATGCCAAAATCTTGGATAGTATCTTAGCATCAACATTAATCAGTGATATGGGTCGGTAGCTACCACACTGCTGCGGGTCCCTACCTTTTTTATTAATCAAAGTGATTAAAGCAGTTTGCATACTGTCTGGGAGGGATCCCCTCTCTAACGCATCTCTAAAAACTCCAAGTAGCCTTGGGGCAAGTAAATCTGAGAATACTTTATAAAAATCAGCTGGGATGCCGTCCTCCCCCGGGGATTTACCATTCTGTAAGTCTTTTATGGCCTTTTTAACCTCCTCTAATGTAATGTCCACTCCAATTTCACCCTGTTCTACGTCTGACAGGGTTGGGCATCTTATCTCAGATAGAACATTTCTTATCTTCTGACACTCAGGATTGTCTGATTTAGAGATCTTGATAAAAAATGTTAAATATAGTGTTAATGTCTGTCTCGTCTGTCTTCAGATCGCCCCATCATTTTGTATTGCTGGTATTATTGATCGTGTATACTGCTGCTTTGCTCTCTGCGCCAGAAATCTCCCTGTTCTTTCCCCTTGTTCATAATATTTCTGTTTAGTTCTCAATAATTCATATTCTACTTTCTTCTGTAATATGGAGTTAAATTCTACTTTTAGTTTGTTTAGTTCCAAAAGGGTAGCGTGGTCAGGCTGGGAAGAGTGTACATTTTCCAATTTTTTTATTTCCCGCACCAATTCCTTAAGCCGTTGAACCGATTTCCTTTTCAGATATGAACAGTGTTGAATCAGTCGACCTCTAATGACTGCCTTAAATGCATCCCACTCCACGGCTGTGTTTGAAACTGATCCTTCATTATTCAGCCAATAATCCATTATTTTGTTTTTTATAAATTCCAGGGACTGTCCATCTCGGAGTAGGGATGTATTAAATCTTCACCTAGTGGGTGGGGTTCTTGGCATTTGACCTAAACTAAACGCTATCCCGACCGAAGCATGATCTGATATTAAGATGTTACCTATGGACGTTTGTTCTGTAATAGAAATGAGTGACTTTGAGATAAGAAAATAGTCTATCCTTGAATAGGATGTATGTGGGTTGGAGTAAAAGGTATATTCCCTTTCCAACGGGTGGAAAAATCTCCATACATCCACTAATCCCAACTCTTTTTC